CAATAAGTCATCTGGCAGTGTAAATCATATCACAAAATTTTTTGTGTTTCTATTGCATTTTCGTAAATTATTCCGTTCATAAAATTATTCAGACTTTACTGCTTGAGCAATATACGTAACATATCGTAGTTTTTGACAGAAATAAATCTGAACTTTTGCAAGTGATGATGTAAGAATTGCAATAACAGATGGCTTATTAAACGACGTGTTTAGCTACAGTAAACCCTTTTTCATGTACTTTTTTAAGGTATGTGTTCGCTTATTAAGTTCCTCAATCCTTGCTGGTTTTAGCAATTTATCCGGCACGTTATCGTACATCGTCTTGCTTTGGTGTGACTTCATTTTTATACAGGTTACTGCCAAGAGCGTTCGTAGTTTCTATAATGCTTGAATGCCTACCAAACCAGCCATGCAAAATTTGGCTTGTAAATATTTTGGTTAACGGACAGTTATTCCCTAACCGCAGTACTTTGCAGCGTATTATACCACTCTTTTGCTGGTAGTTGCCTAAGGATCTTTGAACAGGCCACAACTTCATGATATGTAAAAGCCTGCAGAAAAAGCATTTTAGGTGGTGGTGGGGAGTAATTGTCGGCGAGGTGAGAACTGAACTCAAGCCTGATTACAGGATGCCGCCAGGAAAACCTCGACCAAAATTACATGCTCTCGTAAGTAATGGCATTGTATCGGAACAACTGAAGAGTGAGGAAACAATGATCCAGTCCACATCCATATCTGTACGTTGTCATTTTGAATGTGATGGAATAAAAAGATGGGTAAAATAATGATGATGAAAAAGAAGACCATGAGGAGGAGGAAGTCGGTGATGAAGAAACAATGACGCATATAATTATGAAAAGCGTCGGATGCAAACTGAATCATTTCAGCATGTAGAGTTGACAAATAGCAAATTTCAACTGAGGACTCTCGTTCCGTGTGGTCGCAACATAACCGAATTTGCCGGTTCGTTCTGCTAGTGTGTCAGCAAGAGGTAAGGCGGGTTGCAGTTTGAGAAGTCAGTCACAAACAATTCCTTAGCGTTCATAAGCGAGATGGCCATCAAACCACAAACATTTCGAAGAAATTCTCTCTCTGAGACTTTCTCACCCATGAAGTTTACAGCCAGCTAGTCGAAGAGCAAACGAGACTGTGAATCGCATCATAATCTTTTGTTTGTCATGCATGGACGATATAATGATGCTTAAAAATAAGTCACTTAATGATTTGTTCCCAGTAGTCCATAAAAACCGGTTCTGTAGAAACCATGCTGACTGCTTTTACAGAAGTCAACTGCGACATGAAGAAGAAATTTCCCAGCAGTCACAAAATAGCGATCGATATCTGAATGATCTGAAATTGCTGTTACAGTTAGGCATGGAAAAACACTATGAATGCGATACTGAGGGCAACCGAAAGTTGAGAGTAGTGTACTTTTAGGTCATGTGCCCATTTTTAAAGTTTTCTGTAAAGTTCTTTGCCTCTAATTCAAATAAATTTACTTATGAAACAGAAGCTAGATATAAACATAAAATTAATCATCCAGATTTAAATTGTCGTAGTCGAGATGCTGAACATTCTGGAAGTACTTCAAGCTGCCAGTGACCTTCTTTTTCAGGGGAGTTGCTAACTTGGAATCACTTATTTTTGGTGGTGGATGTTCCAACATTTGTATAGAGAGTTTATTGGACATTGCCTTCTGCGCGACAAGATCATTTTCCACTGGTATGCGTTCGTCTTCCCGTTCATTGGTGCTATTGGACCATCGCTGAGCGATCACATTCGTGATTCCATCTTTCAAGTGCATAAGAATGTGGGACAGCAGCTGTGAATGAACGGTGCCTAAAGAATGAAATTATTACAGAACAAGCAATGTGCAAAATTTGGGAAAAGTGAATGTATTTAGATGAAATTATTCAGCGACAGATCATATCGATTTTTGATCATTCAAATATGCGTAGTTTTGGATTAGTGAGCGGCAGACTATAACGATGAGTTTAAAATAACTTTGCTTCAGACTTCAGTCTCATGCTAGCAAAGCACCTGTTAAAATAATGTTTTTTTATATCAGCGTTTCACTACAAAGTTGAGTTGTTTTAAACCTGTCTTTCAGGATAGTATCTTTTCGTTTTTGGGACTTTGGGTGGTTTTGTTGCTAATGATCTATTTCCTGGTTCTCTATATTGAGTTTGGCGGCGAACTAGATGTCGAAGTTCACTCAGTTAGTCAGAATAAGTGTAAAATGCCTTAGGGTCTACTTGCATGAACAGCATCATTTCAATCAGCTTCTGCGAATAGAATATTCGTTTGTCCTTAAATATAATTAGGAAGAATCCATTTCTTAAGTTTATTAACAAGACAAAACGGTTGTGCTAGAACGTTAATATGGATGCATATCAATGCATAATCACATTAAATATTGAAATGTATTCGTTTGCAATATCTTGTCATTGGAAAAGCTGTTAATGCATTCTTTAAGAGTCATGTTATACTCTTTTCGTCAATGTCATAGCAGTTGGCCTGGCTATTCATTCGTCTTAATTTACCTACAGTGCTGAACAACTAATCAGAAAGCTGATTTTTCATATAGAAATAATATGTCGCATAAAGCTGTCCAATATGTCAAGACGACTGCATCGTCTTTGCATAAAACATGAAGAAGCTCCAACAGGAAATACACCAGTTGAAAAATAAATTTCTCGTCATCAGATTTGCGGTAGCCTCTTCATGACGAAATGAGTGCACGTTTGATACTACCTAAAGGATTCTGTCTACGACCTGAAATGGAAAATAACTCGAGGAAGTGACCAGCTATGTATTCTGTGGCCGTCAGGTGGACCGCATGAATTCACTAGACGAAGAAATCAGCAGAAGAAAAAAGGTTGCCTTGGCCAGCCATTAAAACTTTCACACATCATCGTTCGACGATGAGCTGCCCATGGAGTCAAATAAAGAAATGGAGCGAAGGAGTAAAAAGTACACAGTGGAATGAGTTGACAGATGTGATTTCTGCCATGGACGATGCCAAGAATAAATCGGCCGGCCACATTGCTCGTCATAGTGACAATCGATGGACGTCTAGTCAAGTCAAGACAAATTGGGTTAACTGGAACCACGAACGTCGAATCGGCCCTTCAAGAACATGTTGAGAAATCCAATGGTCAAATGATTTGGTCAGAGGTGGAGGCTAAAAGCAGAGAACAGAGTACATCGGAGGATCGTTGACCTGCGTTCATGGTGCACTTACAACAAATACAAGACGCGTAATGAAAAATTGGATGGAGCTGTCCAACGAGTGATTGATTGAGCTTTTTCTAGTTTGGCGAAACTGGCGGACACCTTTAAGTGTCTTCCTTCTACTAGCCTTTGCGAACACCCTGTGTTGTCTAATTAGGTCCTTTCTGTCAAGTGTTCCTGAAAACGAAGACTAACATAGAAGCAAAGTATCAGAAACTTGTATGGAAGAGCAAATGGACATTGATTAATGTGCATAAGGTCTGCACGCGGAGCTGCATATATTTAGTAATCAAACTGTACATTTCTAAGCAATAATTTGCTCTTCAGCGCGCATTCCTCGAGCAAATAAGCCTCAATTGAATTAGAAAGACAAAAGCAGTGTTAACGACAATGATGTATCATGAAAATAAGTCTTTATGGTTATCCAGCTTCAGCTAATCAAGCGAATAAGCAGATAATTTTTTTTGGATCAGCGGCGAAAGGCCAATCAGTATACAAAAAAGTTTTTGTTAGCTTTGAGGGTTGAGCATCAGACGAACAGTCGAAGGATTACGAGTTCAAACATCGGCTGGGTCCGTTGCCTTTCGA